TAATCGTTTAAGTTCATTTGATTGAATATATAAACATTTGTGGATATGACTGATGCATTTATTGGGTAAAATTGCTACTTTTTACATTCACTCAATGTGTTTTTGCTCATTATCAATGCACTGTCACTTTAATTGAGCATAAGCAGCGTGGCGAAAATAGACCCAAAGCCGAAACTATCGCTCCAGAGCTCTAATCTGTTAACATGGATGCTGAAAAAACACGTTCTTTGATTGAATATATAATGATTGAATATAAAATTGATTGATTGAATTGAATAAATAATGATTGAGTATATATTTGATTGAATATATTAAAATCAGTGCATGTTACCTATGCATTAAATAAATAGACCCAGAGCTGAAACTATCGCTCCAGAGCTCTAATCTGTTAGCATGGATGCTAAAAAAACACGTTCTTTTATTGAACATATAAAGAATATATAATGATTGAATATATATATTTGATTGATTGATTAAATATATAATTGAATATATAATGATTGTTTGATTGAATATATAAAGAATATATAATGATTGAATATATATATTTGATTGATTGATTAAATATATAATTGAATATATAATGATTGGTTGATTGAATATATAATTGAATATATAGTGATTGAATATATATTTCTGCAGCTCTGCACAAGACTTGTGGCCAGCAGAGAAATTAAAATGGTCGTGCCGAACTGAGTCTGGTTCTCTCAAGGTTTTTTTTCTTCACTCTCCTATTGGTGAAGTTTTTTTTCCCTCTCCGCTGTCGCCACTGGCTTGCATGGCTCAGGATCTGTAAAGCTACGCATCGATGAATTTGCTCTTCAGTGTTTGGACTCTCAAGTAATGATTTCAAACCACACTGAACTGAGCTAAACTGAACTTAAACATTAAAAACTGAACTACCCTGATCCAGTTACTATGACCATTTATGTGAAGCGCTATGTAAAAGCGCTACACAAATAAAGCTGAATTTAATTGAATATTTGATTGATTGAATATTAAACTAAATATATAATGATTGAGTCTATGTTTGATTGATTGTTTGATTTAATACATAATTGAATATATAATGATTGAATATATATTTAATTGATTGATTGATTGAATATATAATTGAATATATAATGATTGAGTATACATTTGATTGAAAATATAAAATTCAGTGGATGTTATTTATGTATTTATTGGGTAAAATTACTACTTTTTATAGTCACTCAGTGTGTTTTTGCTCATTATCAATGCACTGTCACTTTAATTGAGCATAAACAGCGTGGCAAAAATAGACCCAGAGTCGAAACTATCCCTCCAGAGCTCTAATCTGTTAACATGGATGATGAAAAAACACATTCTGCTTGCGCTTGCGGTGTGAAACAGGCTTTACCATGCTGAAAGTGCAGCTTAGAATTAGGTAAATTACACAATAACATGTCAAATATATTGATACTTAATAATTTATATGCTTTTTTAAATAGCAAATTAGTATATTAAAAGTTATAGTAATCATTTACAGCAATTATCCATAGTAAAAGTTAAGCTTTCCTAAAGTAATAAACCTCTGATAAAGATGCTTAAAATATGTACTTAAGTACAGTAATGAAGTTAAAATACTGTCCATCACTGCATTATAGTACAAAAGGAAAACATCATGCTTCACATATAATTATTAACAACAACAACAACAACAACAAAAAGAATAATAACCCAGTGCTCTGAGTAAAAATAAAACAGCTGCTGAAGAGGATTACCAATTATGTCACAAACACGACCTTATTTTCTCCCATGAAAAATCCTCATACTCCAAAATTATGCATATGTTGTGCCCCTGCCAAATCCTGTCTAATTAATGCACTCTACTTTGTGTATGTGTGTGAGTTCTCACGTTGTCTCCGGCAGGCTCGTCCTCAGTGGCCGCCTGGATGGCGTAGGCCAGGAAGCAGAGGATTGCTCCGATCCACAGCAGGATGGAGAAACCTCCGAAGAGCTGTCGGCAGAATTTGACCCACTCCGGGGTGGTGGGTGGAGGGGTGAGAGCATTGGGACCATCCCGAGCGAGGTACTCTGCAGCCCTGGCATTAGTCAGACCCTTCAGGCAAGGAAGAGTGTGTGAGGAGAAACCATAGAAAAGCTCTTCAATAATCCAAGGCAAACCCTGCTGCACTGCCACTAGAGGGCGACAGTGGTGCTGTGGTTCTTGAGATTCTACTTTCAAACATTAGCGCTTTAGATAAGCTCATCAAGATGTTATTAGTTTAGTGTTAAGATGGTTTAAATGAGGACAATCTGTTAAAAAGCCCTGTTAAAAACCGTAAAGGCTGATATATGGAATAATAGCCAAAAAATCTTATGATGATAATAATATAGGCACAGTTAACTGAATGTTTAGATGAAACATTAGAAGTAAAATTAATAATAAGACTTTATTTATTTTTTGTTAATGGTGTACATTATAATTATTCCTTTCTATAACCCTGTTTATAAGACTATCACCCATTTTTATCATAATTTAGAATTTTTTTTTGTCAAGCATACTTGTAAAAACTTATTTAATATGTATTTATGTTTATATATATATATATATATATATATATATATATATATATATATATATATGTTTAACGAATATGATTTCTTCAACACATTTCTAAACATAATAGTTTTAAGAACTCATCTCTAATAACTGATTTATTTTATCTTTGCCATTATGACAGTAAATAATATTTTACTTGATATTTTTCAAGACACTTCTATACAGCTTAAAGTGACATTTAAATGTTTAACTAGGTTGTTTAGGTTAACTAGTCAGGTTAGGGTAATTAGGCAAGTTATTGTATAGCAATTGTTTGTTCTGTAGACTATCAGAAAAAATATAGCTTTAAGGGGCTAATAATTTTGACCTTTAAAAAAAAAAATTTAAACTGCTTTTAATCTAGCCAGAATAAAACAAATAAGACTTTCTCTAGAAGAAAAATTATTATCAGACATACTGTGAAAATGTCCTTGCATTTTTAAACATCATTTGAGAAATAATAATTTGTATTATATTATAACACATTATTTTGTGTTTTTTTAAAATATATATGTTATTTTTAATTTAAACTTCATAAATGCTTTTAATTTAATTAATAATAATTAAATAAAAATATAATTAATATATGATAGATTGAATAATATGATATATTATTTATATTTTTATTTAATTATTACATGTATTTTTTTAACTACTACTACTATTTACAATGTTTTTTATTGTATATGTATGTTCTTTTATTTTGAATGTAAACTTTATACATGCTTTGGCAATACATTTGAAACATTTGCTATGCTAATAAAGCAATTATTGGATTAAACTGAATTAAGAAAGAGAGTCACTTTTATAAATTTAATTTGGAAGGAAATAAGAAAATAATCCATCTCACCCTTCAGTTATATTTATACAGAAATACATTGATATACCATTTTAGAAATCTAAATATTTAATTTGTTAAAATTAATCACCAAAACCCCAAAAATAATTACATATTAATATATACTAATAAATAAACATTTAAATCTTTATAATAGTTCAGCAATATGTACACAAATATCATGGAAATATAGTAATCAACAATATTGATCATATTGATAAATTTGAAGCATTTAAAAAAAATGATACAGCAAGCTTTAAAGGGGTTAATGCTGATTTGCAGTGCATATTAACTGTTTAAGTACTACAGTATGTTAAAACAAAAACCATTTACATATTTGAGGATAACATCATTACATGGAAAAATTCATTAACTTTGACGAGTCTGGACTTTTCACTTTAATAATAAACTACTTTAGGTCCCAATGACATTCTCATATATACACATAATTTTGCGTTCCACAGATAAAAGTCAATCAATACCAGTTTGCAATGATAAGGTTGAAGAATTGTTGAGTATATTTATATTTGTATGCAAATTACAGCCAAAACATAAAGACCGAATATACAAATTTCAGTGAATAACTTGAGATAAAAACATTAACAGGAATCTGACACCAGCCTCATCAGTGAGGAAATGGAGGATTAGCTTATAATTATACTTCAGACAAAAGATTCGCCCAGAAAGAAATTCCTAGTCTTTCCTTATGTGCATCAGTATAAAGTTATCCTGAACCATCCGTGCTTATGAAGGAAATTGAATTTATTCAGAAGATCCGGACAGACATTCAGGAAATTGCCTCTCTTCTGCAATCTCAAATGTCTCTACTTCACTTTCATGTTTCTTTCCGTATGATCCCCTCCATATTACCACTTTAATCTCATAAAACTTTGACAACATTCTCAGAATTTCAGTTTTATGCCCAATATATTACTTAACTTAACCATCTTAACTTTATCTTTATCACCATCTTAACTTATCAGTAATATTTTGGTAGAGTGATTGGACCCCCGATTCAACCTAGGAGTGAAGGGAGGGTTATAGGGTTGTGAATGGAAAGCGAGAAAATAGAGGAAGGGAGACTGGGTTCGAAAGAACGAGAAGAACATGGCTACAGGGCTGGTCTGCCTTAAATAAGTTTTAGGGAGAGGGTGACAAAGTAATGCATGGTTCCAGCGCAGAACCTTTGTTAACAAGTTAGCACCATTTCTAACCTTATTAATGATGCATATTATTAAATTATTTTTATTTTAATTATTCTATTACTGTACCTGAATACTGTTAGACTTATAAACTGATTAAAAAAACTGTTAATTTCAACTGTATTCTTTGTTGTTTCATCAAGTTTGTAGACTGCTTATTGGATTTTATGCACATGCACTCCCCTACAGAATCATCCCAATCAATCTAATAAATCTAAAAAGATTTGGTCAAATCATCTGGTAAAAATGTATTCATATCATAATATACAATGCAGAATAACAACATTAAAATTTTTTTCCAATATCGTGCAGCACTACTCAAAACGATATCTTTATTCAACAAAACAAATGTTTGTCATGAGGATTTTTTTTTGCAATACTATGAATCCTGAATGTTCACTGTGGATTTGAAGCGCTCACCTGTACGATGTCAGTGTTGTACTTTCGGCACACTTCCTCAATCGACATCTTATGCTCTGTCTGGAGGAAAAATAAAATAAAATTGTCGAAAATATCAGTTTCAATCTGACAAACATAAATTCAACATTATTCAAAGCTTTTTGATGAATCATTCATAAGTTTGTAAGTCGATTTGGATAAAATGAATAAAGAAAAACAAATCACAGTCTCGCTGCATTTCATTCAAGGCAATAAGTTATAGAAAATCAATCTAATATATTGCAATAACTACTATGGTGAATTAAGGAAACGTGACAAAATAAAAATCTAATTAATTTGTACACTATAAACGGGCTATTTAATGGTCAGTGACTAGATTCTTGAAAATTTACTGTACTTAAAGTCATTGTGAAATAAAAATATCTCAAATTTACTGTTTATTGTAAGTAATTTATGTGTGTCCTTCATCAAATTAAAATATTTATGTGCTCACATGAAATAACTTTCCCTCTTATTTCAATGCATCTTTTATCTGATGATGTGTCAAGTTTGAGGGCGGGATCAACTTGTCAATCATATGAGATCCACCCACTGCAAACTTCAAGTCCCGCCCTTCATTTCTTCCGTGTTCAAGGCACTTATATTTGCTGAAAAATTAATTAAAACAAATTCGTGTTGACGTGTCTTACCAGTGGCACTTCCTTCTTCAAGTCATCAAGGTCTTTCCCTCCCTTTCCCTTTTTGGGAGATTCCTTATCATCATTGTCCTGCGTGGTTGCCACGCGGTAGCTGTCCGACCGTCCATACTGCGGAAGAAAACAGCAATAATTTTAGATTGGCTTCATACTTAAACCAACATTACAACCTGTAATGCTGTAAGTCAAAGCAATAGACGTCTTCACATTTGACAAAAAATCAAGCAGTTTAAATATATTATGATTTTTAGAAAAAGTTTTAATTGGTCAGCCCATCTTTAGTCGTCATTGTTTTTGTTGCGCTTTCTACAACAGATGTTGTTTCAAAGCTGTTTCTGTAATAAAGTTACAAATATACACTCCCTCTTGTCAGCTAAGGTCATCAGTGTCTCTCTGTTCCTTTATAACAGCAACAATAAATGAATAAAATCATTTTCCAGAACCTTCACTATCTCTGTTCTTCTCTGGTATACTGAACTGCCGACTTCTACTGTCAAGAAGCAGCCGAAGACAAACCTCTACACTCTTAAAGATCTTGTAAAGTGCTTTGAAATGTGCATTTTTATTCGATATTTGACATGATCTTAATCAAAACAAGAAAAGAGGGTGGGAGATAGAGTAGCTCCTCCCCTTTTTACAAAAACGGTCAATAGCGTTTTGCTTAATCACCGTTCTGCCAGTGAGAGTGAGCTTAAGCGAATCAAATGTGAAACATTTTGAAGAGGGCAGGGCATGTCAGATACAAGAGAGCCTTTGATTGGTCAAGATTTGATGGGAAACTGAGACATGAGATGATAAGCTACAAGCTTTACATGTTTACATCAGTTTCATATCTTCTAAACGCTGTTTTTGAGGCACACTAGCTAATAGATATCCTTACAATTAACAACAATACTGTTACTAACATCTAAAACACTTTATTTTTATTTCATGGTACCTCTAAGCCAATCCACACAACCTTCTTAAATGTACAAAATCAATGACACAGATGTAAAACAAGACCAAGTAAAAAATGGTTCTATATTTGTGGCAAGTCAACATCTCAATTCAGTTGATGAAAACATCAGTTGCTTCAAGACTGTATTAGTTTGGCTCTTTTGTTGAGTTCAAAAAGAGGAATATTGAAGAATGTTGGAAAGCGATAGCCACTGACATCCATAGCAGAAAAAAATTACTATGGTCAATGGCTACCAGTTTTCATTCAGGTTTGAAACCACTTGAGGAATTAAATAGTAGAGCTGCACAATATATAATTTCAGCATCGATATTGCAATGCGATCATTCGCAAAAGCCATCGCAGGATTTGCAATGTCAAGTTCAGCTTCAATTCATTCATCCATCAGGAAATTTGAGTGCATTTATAGCTGACTAAGAACCATATTGTTGAGTGACTGGTCAACTTTTACAGAGTGAAATAGAGCTTGTTTGATTTGTTTTTAAGGCCTATGACTTTAAGATTTCAATAATTTCAATAAATTGTGTACAAAATTACAACAATTTAACTTATACAATGAAGACTTTTTTATTTGCTTAAATTTGATTATGCCTATGAAATCACTACAGTTTACATACAATGATGAGTTCCAAATTGATCTATTAAAGTCATCTCGTGTCATAATCATATTCATATCGCAATAAATATTGCAGAAAAACAAGATATCTCGATGACAGATTTATACAATATCGTGAAGCCCTAGTAAATAGTCATTTAATGATGAAGAGGGAGTAAATTATTATTTATGGGTGAACAATGTCTTTAATTTGTGCTGTTTTGGTAGATTCATTGGTCATTCTACATTGAAAGAAAATTATTCATTGGATTTACCAAATTTTTTTTTTTTTTTTTGGTAAGTGGTTGGAAACAATTTATATAGGCTGAATTTAAACAAACAAATTAGGTTAAACATTACTACATTTAATTAGTTTGCTTAAATTCTGCCCATACATAGTTTTCATCCACTTACCTTAAAAAAAAAATTTAAATCTAAGAAACATTTTTTTTCAGTGTACAAATGAGCCACTGTGCTTATTTTCTTAGTTTACAACAGGGGTGTCCAAACTCGGTCCTGAAAGGGCTGGTGTCCTGCAGATTTTAGCTTCAACTTGCCTCAACACACCTGCAAGGATGTTTCTAAAAAGCCTAGTAAGAGCTTGATTAGCTAGCCCAGGTGTGTCTGATTGGGGTTTGAACTAAACTGCAGGACACTGGCCCTCCAGGACCGAGTTTGGACATGCCTGGTTTACAGTTACAAACAGAACAACATCTGCAGAGTAGGGTTGTCATGATACCATTAATTCATCTTACGATACTATACCAGCTAAAGTATCACGATGCCAAATAGTATTGCGAAACTAATATAATAATATAAAGAAAATGGTCAGAAATACTTTATTTAACATGTTATAATACTGTAGATCTACTTGAATTGAGTTCTTAATTCCCTTAATATTGGAAAAAAGTATCATTTGCACTTCACTTTACCTAAAATGTATTAATTTTTTTGTTTATTTTGTAGATAACTGACCAACAAAAAATACATTAAAATAAAGATACAAATTATACCAAACGAAATTTGTTACAAAAAGAGCGTTTTTCCAACAAAATTGAACAGGAACAAAAATGACTGATTCAGATGTGCGTTTGAAAACATCAGAAAACAAGCAACCTTAAAGGGTTTCACAGATTATTAAAATAAAATGGTTTATTGTTGAACAAACGTGAGCATTTTAGTGACAGATGCAACATTATGAATTGTAGATAGACCGTTAATGACGATACCACCGTTTACAGACTGCAGTGGCACCGCCAGTATTTTGGAACCATAGTATCACGATACTACCATAGTATACCAGTAAACCGTGCAATCCTACTGCAGAGTGATCCATTCTTATTACCGCTTTTATGGCACAGAGGTGTCAAACTCATGTCCTGTTTAGTGAATCGGGCCTTTGGATTTATAAACCACTGAGCATTAATGAAATGAGCACCAGCTGAAACAGCGACCTAATAAACTGGATACACAGATGGGCTCATATTTAAAGGGACAGTCCCGAAAAATAATATTATTTATTCAGTTTTTCCAAAATCACAAAAGAAGATACATCTGATGATGGAAGCTGCTATTGACTGGTGCAGTATTTTGTTTCTTCTACTATCGATGTCAATGGGATCCAGTTTCCCCTTTGCATAAAATTTTTTTTGGAACAACTTGAGGGTGGGTAAATGATGACAGAATTAAAATTTTTGGTTGAACTACCCCTTTAAATACAATGTCGCAGGACCTTCTATTGCAATGCAGCACAGGAACTGAGGGGGAAATGCCAACCAGATGATGCTTCATCCACAATCCTGATTATCTTTGAAACTGCGAAGCTTAACCGGAACCCCAATGCGGGATAAGGGTGTTTGTGCGCGCGGGGGTCGTCGAGGGTGGTCTAGTGTGCTCAAATCCACATTAGAGCTTTTCATTGATGTGGCATCCCTTGATCTGCCATGTGTGCTTCTGTGACCTATTTTAGCTGGAATACTCAACCAGACGCCATCACGGACAAATCCACCATTACAGCACACCAGCATGCCTACACGCTAAAGTGCATAAAAGGGAATCGCAAGTTAAAAATACATGATGATTGGTCAGGGTGAAGACTATTACAAGACTAAAGAGTGTTTAGATATATTAATCCAGGTCTGAGAGAATATCTGTTGTCTGAACTTTATTAAAAGCACACTACAAAATTACAAAACACTGAATAAATATAAACGTTTTGTCTGCCTTTTGTGTTTATTATAAGGTTCATGCTCTACATTTATATGTTAGGGAAAGATAGTAGTATATAAATTTACGGAAAAATGTCCAAACTTACTGGCAGCTCTATGATATTTATTAAAAAGCTTAACCTCAGTTAAGCAGAAATAATCATTTAAAAATATAATTTAAACAGGAATAAACTAGATTAAAGGCGGCACGGTGGCACAGTGGGTAGCACTGTCACCTCACTGCACGAAGGTCACTTGTTCGAGCCCCAGCTGGGTCGGTTAGCATTTCTGTGTAGAGCATGCATGTTCTCCCCATGTTCGCATGGGTTTCCTCCGGGTGCTCCGGTTTCCCCCACTAGTCCAAAGATATGTGCTGTAGGTGAATTGGGTAGGCTAAATTGTCCGTACTGTATGTGTATGAAAGAGTATGTATGGGTTTCCCAGTGATGGGTTGCAGCTAGAAGAGCATCCGCATTGTAAAACATATGGTGGATAAGTCGGTGGTTCATTCCACTTTGGCGACCCCTGATTCATAAAGGAACTAAGCCGCAAATGAATGAATGAATGAAATCAGATTAACTAGCCATAATATATTCAGATCTTTTCACTTTACAGTAATAATCAATCAGGGAATCAGTTAATTAATAAAATTCCCCTCCTAAATATGGATTTACAAAGCTGTACATACTAAACATAAAACGAAACTGTACATAAAAATGAAAATAATAATCCCACAAACTAGTTCCCTTTTTTCACTGATTAGTAATGAATAGTGTGTGTGTGTATATATGTAGTTGAAACCAAAATTATTATCCAAAATTATTGTGTAAAATATATAAAAATGCTGTTTTTATGTACCTAAGGTTTCAACTAAGGTTTTACTTAATATTTTGAACCAGTTTAATTGATGTATATTGATATTGCTATCATTTTTGCTTAATATTTGCTTAATTTTCAGATTGATATTGATATTATATACAGGTTTGATTTAATATTGATATAAGTTGGATGTCTAGAAAAGTTCATATGATTCAACTAAAGTGTAAGCAAGATTTTTTTTCACTGTTAATTATATTATGGTACAACTGTTACATATGCTAATTAGTGTAACCAGGCAAGTTATAATTGGTCAAGTCATTAGACAACAGTGGTTTGTTCTGTAGCCAACGAAAAATAATCAATTCTTGAAGGGGCTAATAATATTAATGACCTTAAATATGATAACAAAAAAACTGTTTATTACAGCTGAACTAAAATAAATAAGACTTTCTCTAGAATATAAAATATTATAGGAAATACTGTGAAAACCCTCTGGTGGGAGGCTTCAGAAGTCACTTTCCAAAATCTTTTCATT